TCCCACTCCCACCTCCCGCAGTCGTCGCAGAAGGATACCATGGTCGATGGTATCGAAAGCCGCTGAGAGGTCAAGGAGGACCAGGATGGAGAAATATCCTCCATCTCTGGCTCTCCAGAGATCATCGGTCAATGCGACCAAAGCGGTTTCTGTGCTGTAACCGGGTCTGATATATAAAGTCAAAGGCACATAATATTAAAACTATATAATGGGCAGTCCAGTCACCATTGGAGCCAAACTCTCAGTTAAATACTAGATACTAAGCAACTTTTTAAAAGACAAGAAGATTCAGATGATGATAGGACAAAGAGTTAATTTGTAAATGAAAATGGCTTCAGTGTATTATATTTGAGCTTTACAGAGGTACATACAAAGTATAGGTAGTTCGCAACTTACGATCACAATTGAGCCCAAAATTTATGTTGCTAAGTGAGACATTTGTTAAGCGAATTTTGTTCCATTTTACGACCTTTCTTGTAGAAGGTAAATGAATCACTTCAGTTGTTAAGTTAGTAACATTAGTTATTAATAGTAACTTAGAAGTTACTAAGCTGCAAAAGGTGATCACATGACCCTGGGACACTGTCATAAATATGAACCAGTTGTCAAACATTTGATAGTAAATCACATCACCACAGGAATGTTGCAATGGTCATAAGTGTGTCTGGAGATTCTCAGTCATCCAGGCATGGTTGTCCCAAGGGTGCTTTTTTCAAGAGGTGAAGAAGCTTCTTGGATGAGAAGCAAAACATCTTTAAAGAAAAACAAAATCCAGTTGCCTCTTGAAAAAGCACCTTTGGGGCGGTCATAAATGTGAAAAATGGTCATAAGTCACTTTTTTCAGTGCCATTGTAACTTTGAATGGTCACCAAATGAACTGTTGTAAGTTGAGGACTTTCTGTATATACTTTTATTCAAAGCTGTTTTCCACAGAATGTGTAAACAAAATGAAAGATACTTCCTGCTTTTAACTTAGGATGCTTTTAAGGGGTTGTCCAGGCCCACAACATTCAGCCTTTGCATTGAAGCAGCCTTCACTTGCCTTCCTGCAATTCAAAGTCAGAAGTGTGGAGATTACAGGAAATTCCTTTTCACCTTGGAATGAACTCTTTCAGAAGAGTTACCTAAAATGGGCTTCTCTTCAGAATGAGGCACAGATTGAGTCTTTCACTCGACTCTTTCCTTCGGTATCTATTACCTTCCAGTATATTCGGTTTGTTCTATTTTCGCACTAACATTG